TTGCAGTGTGGCCATCTCCCCTGGGGGGTGATTTCTCACGTTCCCTCTCATTGTCTCTCTCTCTCTTTGTGGCAAGCACACATGCCCTAAGGCAAAAATCTCTAAAAACAAAAGGAAGAAAAAACCCAGTACAGGTGGCAGTGGTGAGAGGCTGTCAAAGGCAATGTTCTGGAAGTAGAACTGCCAGGAACTTGCTAATGGGAATGAAGAAAAAAAAGAGAAGGAACTGTGGGGCAAGTGGCACCATTTGCAGACTTGGGGGACGTTGGGAGAGCTGCAGGTTGGGGTTAGAAAACAGAGATTAGTGGGCCAGGCAGTGGGGTTAGAAAATAGAGATTAGTGGGCCAGGTGGTGGTGGGTGGGAACGTGACTGTACTCTCAATGGAGAGGTCCTGAGTTTGCGTCCCAGGGCCTCCCAGAGCATGGCGCGTGTGCTCGCACCCGTGATCCAGGCTGGCAGAGAGGGGTGGACCACAGCATGGAGACCTGTCAGGTCTCCTGTGGTGCCCATCTCCCTCTTTGTTGGAAGAAAATAAATAAACTTTTTTTAAAAGAGAGAGAAAGTTTAGTTTTGAATGTGTTGTTTGAGATGCCAATTAGACATCCAAGAAGCGTCGGCCATTATGAGTCTAGAGCTCTGGGAAAAGTCGGGGCTAGAGGTAAAAAATCCAAGTTGCAAGCGTGGATGGGAACCTTAGAAGTCAAATGAGAATACAAGGTCTTGCTTGGCAGTAAAAGGGAGCCCGTGCAGCCTGGGCAATACGGACCGCAAATGCAGTGTGCTCAGTGAAAGAGGCCAGGCTCAGAGGGCGATGCGCTGCATGGTTTCATCGACAGCATTTTCTGGAAGAGGCAAAGCCATAGGGAGAGATCTGAGGTCACCAGGGGCCGGACTGGTGCAGGGGACTTGCATACAAAGGGCTACAAAGGCAGGGGGTGTGTGGGTGAGGGGAGTGCTCTGCGATGGCAATGGTGACTGTGTGACCGAACACATTTGCCAAAACTTGCAGAAGCTCACACTGAAAGGGGAGAGCTTAGTATATGGAAATTATACCTTAATACAAAAAAGTGAAAGGAGAAAACAGTCAAATTATTGCTTGAGCTCATTGCAAGAAGGAGCACACACTACGGATCAGGGCGAGGCCCACACACCAGGCCTCACCGCCTCACCACCACCAGGCCTCACCACCATGGAGAGTGGCTGGGGACAGAGCCAGCCAAGGGCAAGTACGATGGGCATGTGTGGTAAGTGAAAAGAGTTTGAGCAACATGATGCAGACCTACTAGGTGCTACATGTGTTGGCGTCCTTGCTTTACAGAGTCACCTCAGTGCAGGTGTGGGACAGGCTCAATAAACAATCACTCCACACCCAAGGGAAGTGACTTGTCGTGGCTCCACGCACAGCAGAATAGTGGCAAAGCAGGAAACTCCATGCCAGTATGCCCTGCACGCTGCTCCTTGCTTGTCGAGTGAAGGAATGAATGAATGGGAGCACCATGCTTCAAGTGCCGAGGTTTCACCAGCAGATTCAAGCTGAGGGTATGAGAACGTGGTTATTTTGAAGAAGTTGGGGCCATAAAACCTGTTCCATTTTCTGACTTACATAAGGCCCAGCCCCTCTCCCTGTGGCTCTGAGATTGCTCCCCGGCCTTGGGAAGGGCTCCCCAGGCTTATCTCACGGGGAGAGTGAAACTGTAAAAGCCTTTATGGCTTTGAGATCACGTCTGGCGGGACAGCGATTGTCGCCATAAACCGGAGCTGGCCCTGCGTGAGGGCAATGCCCTGGGCCAAGAGGAGGAGGCAGGTGAGAGTTGAGCAATGCCAAGGGAGTGGCCACTGCTGTGCCGGGCACTTTGGGGCCTGTGGTCGGGCCCGTCACAGACTCGTCTCATTTTACCTCCCATAAGCCCTGGGGGCAGCTGACCGTGCAGTGTGTGAACAATGCCACGATGTGCCAGTGTGCTCTTTCCCACACCCCCTTCTGATTAAATGTGTCCTAAATCTCTGGCGTCCCACGATCAATTTGATTGATTGATTCTACCTCACAGTTTGATTGAGTGATGACATGGCCTGGTTGGTTTTGGTCATTATTTCTAGTTGACCTGGCTGAACAACTACACCTCCTTTATTTATTTATTTATTTATTTATTTCAAATTGTATTTGCTATAGTGCAGGTGAGAGGGACTGAACTGAGACGAAAAAGAGAGAAAGTGGGAATCCCCACTCAGGGCACACGGCCACTCCAAATCCCTTCTCCTCCACTCTCCTCTCAGGATTTGGGGCAAGTGTGCATGTGCACCCAGCATGTTTTTCAAGCCAGCGGGGTCCGGGACTGAACCACACAATCGGCCATGTGGGATCCAGCCGACCTAACCTCCACGCCACCTGCTGGTCCCAATCTAACCCTCTCAAGGTTACAGGTGAGTTAGTGGCAAGACAGGGCCTAGAATCTGAGCCCCCAATCCTTTCTATTTCATCACAAACAACTTAAGGACCAGTTGAGGAAGGGACCTGAGTCCTGCTTGTACCCTGAAACCTACTGTTGACACCTTCGGAAAACAGCAAGAAGGCACCAGGGTTAAAACCTGCAGGTAGAGTACGTGGCTGGAAGAAAATCCCGGAGATGACACACATGGACGTGAAGACTGAGTGGGAAACGCCCTGGACGGGACGAACGCCAACAGGAAGAAGTTTTAGGAATTCCCTAACTCATCTCTTTCACTGATATTTTTCTTTTTATTTATGCACAAAAATAATAGATGATTTTTTTTCCTTTATGAGAGATGGAGAGAGAGCAAAAAAATAAAAAAGAAAGGGAGAGAGAGAGGCGGTTTGTTTTTTTTTACATGTATTTATTTCTTCCACGAGAGATAGAAACAGAGAGAAAGAGAAAGACAGGGAGAAAGAGTGGGATGAACACTCACACCTCAGGTAGAGCCCTGCCCCATCGCTGTTTGCCCTGTGCCCTCAGCATCCTGTTTTCTTATCTGTAAAACGGGGACACTTGACCTCCATTGTGAGAAGTACCAGCATTTTAGGTAGAAAACTTAGAAAATACATTGCAGATTATGTTTTGACATAATGCTTTCTTACCAATTAGAATCTCAATTTTTATATTTATTAAGGGGCCAGTCGGTGTGGTTGCTGATGTGGCTGAATCCCACGTGGCCGACTGTGAGTTTCAAATTTCTGACGTGGCAACTTGACTGGGACCATGGTCCCAGGTGACATACGGACTGCAACCTCATGAGAGGTCCTAAGCCAGGGTCGTTCAGCCAAGCCATTCCTGAGATCTCATCACACAAAAACTGTGAGAGGATACATTTGTGGTTTTGTTTTTGTTTTTGTTTTTAGGAGCTTTTTTGCCGAAGGGCACAGCAGAGACAGTGAGAGGGAAAGTGAGAAATCACCCTCCAGGGGAGATGGCCATACAGCAAGCTCTTCTCCCCGCTCCTCCCGGGATCTTGGGCACACATGCACATGCTCCTGGTGTGATTTTCAAGACGTGGGGTCCAAGACTCAAACCACAGTCGGCCATGTGGCGGGTCCAGCGATGTTACCGCCATGCCATCTGCCAGCCCTTCCACTTGTCTTTAATTGGAGTGGTTATGCAGCCGTAGATAATTAACACAGTTGCCTCGCACAGTGTCTGGTACATAGACATTACTTATTTAACAATTAGTAATTAATTACTAAAAAGTTAGGTGTTCAATAAATATTATAGAATGACACATTATAAAAATAAATACTTGGAAGCCATAAATATATGATTACATTTTATTAAATAAATACAAATACTATATAAAAATGTATATAAATATAAATATTACACAAGCGTAAATGAAATACTATAGAAGGGCACAATTAAGACTTTCCTAATCCACCAACAGGTACAAGAATTCTTCCAACCTTGAGATCCCAAGCTTCTGGGAATCTCCACTTCTGGGTTTCTATAATAATGCTCTCTGATCTATGATTAGCGATTCTGAGGTTTTAGGTTTCTGTTCTCCAAGTCCACGATTCTGAAAAATTGCGATTCTGAGATCCTGGCATCTTAGATTCACCTGCCAGCACCCGTCTTGGTGCAGCGATTCTTCTCCGCCAGAACCAGCGCCAGGAGCCAGGGCGTCAGCAGAGGAAAGATGGCAGGACTCCTGTGTCTGCCCGCCCGTGGCTTGGAAGCTGGTGGGGACACAGCAAGCACCTGAGCACCTGATCCACGGCGAAGTCCATCCTATGGGGCGGCCCAGGTGTGGGGCTGTTGGGGGGTGGAGGAAGGAGGCACCAACCCAAAGTCTTTGGGAGGGATGTGAGCAGAAATGTCTTCCTAGAAAAACCGGGAAGAGAGGGTAATTCAACCAGAGAAAGGATAGATTGTTCCAATTAGAGGGAATAGCAAATGCAAAGGTCCTGGGGTTGG